AAAATAGCATTTTTTGCAGGAACACACAGTTCGTACACACGTTTCAACGAAGGTTCGACATCTTCATTGTCTAGAAGATCCCGGAGAACGCTACCCGCGACCACCTATACCAGATTTTCAACGGCTACACGCTGAGGTTGGCAAATGTTCTAGGTGGCACACAGCTGACGTCACTCGGGCGGCTTCAAGAGGGATGGAATGAGCTCCCGCAGCGTTTCCATCACTGGTTGTTCTCTTCTTGAATCGATCATTAAAATATCGTTATTGGTAGATGAAGGCAGTCGGAGGCGGGATGATTCCGCCCCTCCTGACACCACCGCCTGTTTGCGACGGCAATAACTTCACATATAAGTTTTTTGACTTGATTTCGGTTTCATATGGTGTAATGAAATCATACAAGTCCAATGAGAAGTGACGAAGATTGGTGACTGGAAAAGACCTTATCTTCCTCTCCAGTCGTCAATCTGTGGTTTTGATGAGCGCTTTTTTTCCGAAAGGACCTTGCTGAAGTCTGGAGAGGATGGTGTAGCAAAGTAAGTGGGGTGGGCAACAGCATGAGTGTGAATGGTTCTATAGTTTCATTCAGACAATACGTCAATATTCCGAGATATGAGTCAGCAAAGCAGGATAAGTTTGCTCTTTTAGAGAATCTTACGCTTGAAATTAGGCGTAGAAGGTAATAGCATTTGCGCCATACTTCCACGAAGTGCAGCAGATGCGTCGATGCAAAGAATGTACGCAGCCAAAGTAATGAACAACGCAAACACGAGAGGGTGCAAACAGTAGCGCGTGTGGCCATAGTTGAACGTGTGGTTGGCCGGTGTGGCATCCTAGGTGTTTAGCGCTCCTTGCCTGTGAGCGGAAATACAAAGAGCCTTCGCTATTACTATCCTCTGGCCTAGCAGTCACAAGCATGTTTCTTTTCAGATGGAAAGCGCTCTGAAGAGTGCTCCTCACAAACCAACAACCGTACCTCGACCATTTCACTTGAGTGAACCGAAAGCTTATCACCATCGTCACGTGAGCACTTCATGTTCATAGAAAACCTTTTCGTTTCTTTTTGTACCTTCTGGGCCAGCACTCTACGCTCCATATCCTAGAAACAGGGTGTCCGTGGCTGCGTACTTCATTCAGACGTAGCGAAAGCTGCGCGGTATTGCAATTCAAGACAGTTGCAACATGTCTTTGTCCAGTGCAGGATAGGACAGCACTTGCATCGCACGGAAATGTTCATCGAGCAGCGCATCCCACGCCGTGTTCAAGTGAAGTACGCAGCCATGCCCACCCCATCGCTGGGATGTGGAGAGTACAATGGTGGAAAAGTAGACTGTATTATTCAGTGCAAATCATCTTCGCCTCCACGATGGCGAGCCCAAAACATTAGAAAGGTGTCTAAGGGTGATGTCGCTATTCGTGCAACACACTCGTCAACGATTAGGAAGGAGGCAATCAGGTTAGAGGCGCTAATAAGCGCTGAATCAAGCATATTTTTCTCGTATTTCGCTTTTTTACGTCTGAAGTTACTGTGAGGAAATTTGTAAGGAGTAATCCTCTTGAACCTGAAAGTATTCAAGTGCCAGTTGATCAAAAAGTAAAATACAGCTGAGAGTGGGCGATTTAGAAAACGACAGGAAATCCTAAATGAAGAGCGTCACCGTTCGGAGAAGTTCTGGGAAGATAGAAGAGATGAGATGGATTTGAGTCGAGTGAGGCTGCTCTCGTCAATGGGTTCGCTACCAAATGTGAATGATGAAATTGAGAGGAAGACGGCTGAGAAAATGTATGTTATCTTTTACATCCAAAGTGTTACATAAGCTGGGTTTAACTACGAATTCAATGTAGCGCGGAGGTCGGGCTGCCACAGGTCCGTAAGGACAACCCGTACACTCCATCGGTCCTTCCCGTGTGCGAGGTGAATGGGTTCACAGCTGCAGTAGCCTATCACGCTCAGCGCACGGGAAGAGGGCTGTAGGGTAGGTGGTTACCGAGCACCTTCTCCATGCACCGCCCGTGCTATCCTCAATGTGCAGCGCTTGCATCGATGCTAACATTCCGCAAAAAAGGAAATACGCATTCAATAGTAGAGATCAGAAGTGAGACGACGCAGGTAAGTAGCGCGCTTGGCTATGGTCAGGGTGTGGCTGGCTGTGCGGCACCACAGCCGTAGTATGCAAAAACGGCATCAGGTATAACCAGCCTCGAGCCCCATTCCTGTGCGCTCTTAGCCTGAAAAACAAGGCAGGTTACTGCATCTGGGATCCTTTTGACCCACATTTGGCGAGGTCAGGATTCCACCGAGGTAATATTACTTTTTGTCTCTAAGGCAAATACAGTTGCGAAAACGATAACGCCTAGGCGGTGTGGCTTGGAGCGCAGCCAGGGCAGATTTCTCATCAATTGTAGCGCATTCAGGATAAGAACATTGTTGGAACGAGGCCGCCCTGGCTGCTCTCCCAACCGCATCGCGTTCCATCGTCTGCATGAATCACCACTGTCCTTCCGTGTTTCTCTTTTTTTCTTCTTGAATGCTCTTATGAATCTCTTTCATTCAGAAGGCACAGCGCGGAAAGCACAAGAGAATACGAAAAGTTCCTAGCTGAAATGCAACAGAGGTCCGTTGCTATTTATTCTCTCAGGGAATTTTTCGGAATGTGGTTTTCAAAACTCTCCAATTACAGGGTGATTGACAGACCTCTTATCATGGAGCAGCAATCAATCATCGCGCAAAAACAGAAATTCACTCGGAAATACGAGGAAAGGCTAGCAGCTGTGGGCAAGGTGTGTATGGTTATGAGCATATCCACGTCGTTTGTTGAATCTTAGCTTATTTCAAGACTTCCCCCACAGCGAGGATCCGAGTGAATGCTACCGAACGTCGTGATTCTGACATCTCCGGTGCGACTTATTCTGTGAAATCCAAAGAGCAAGCGGAAATTGGTGAAAACGTAAGTTACAGTTACCTGGATGTTCCTGTGACTTTGGATTCCATGAGCGAGCTGTACATAAATTCAGCATTCAATCAAACGAATTTCGAGAAACGGAAGGTTGTGGGAGCATCTTTTTCACTGACAACTGAGCCGAAGCTCGCATTGAGACGCCTTTGCGCAACTGAATGACGGTCAAAGTGGACCAGTGCAGCTTTCCTATCCTTGTACTTTTAAGCACTTACACGAGATGTGTGAGAAGTTGGACACATTTCTGGTCGCTTTGTAGCGGAGCCAGCTTGCCATCATGTCGTTCTTGGGCGCTCTCCCCTACCGTTCCGCGCTTCCCCTACCGTTCCACTTCCAAACGTGAGGCGCACTATTGAACCATGTACAGCGGTAAGATTGACTCCGCCCTCATAGCCAGGCTGTCCTTCGATGGCAGTACCGTTATTGTCACTGAATTTAGTCTCGGGGCGTGTCACGATGGCGTGAGCTTTGTCTGCAGCGCCACCACTGTTCGTCCATGGTCGTTGTAGCTCAATAGCAGTGACGGGCGCGGCCCCCTTGATTCCTAGACAGCAATTCTATAAAGACTCATTTATAGTAGGTCATGGTGGCCATATTCTGTCCATAACAAGGTCTACCTGGAAAACTTGATTGCAGGGCTATGGCAGTGGTGATTTCGACACCGACGAAGAGACATCAGGAGGTAAAAAACGATCATCGAGATCCGACTCCTCTTCCTCCTCGTCTGCATCTTCTTCCAAGGGCTCTTCCTCGAAGAAGTCTGGCAGTTCCGGAACGTCAGAGTCAAGCAGCTCATAGGACAAGACTCATATCTAGGAAACTATATTTAATCTCAATTCAACGATACCATCTTATAAATAGCTCAAGTGACCCCAATCTTGCCGAATATTTCTAGGTGAATTATTACATATCTAAGGTCTCCAATGAAAATTTGAGACTAAATTATGAATTTTCCTTGTTGCTGTCGTCTATCTGCACCATTTTTCTTCTTTTTTTGTATCACTTTCATTAACTGCTTAGTTTTACAAGTCACTTCTTTGTGATACGTTTGTTTTATTAAAAATTTCGCTGTGATGAAAATAAATTTGAGTTTTGTATCGCTACTCAATGCAGTGCTGAATGGTAGGAAACAGAGGAAAATCGGAACGAAACAGTAAAAACCACCGGATTGGGGTCATCATAGTGCCCGCTGAGTTCGACTAGTGGATGAGTTAGTTGTTATCGTATACACAATATCAGCGCTCTCACTTAGGCAGCGTTCAGACTTCGCGACGGCGGTGC